TCTGAGCTGGTGTTTATTGGCACAGCTTTGCTGCATATTGTATAAAACAGAAGTATTTTACCTACCTGATACTCCTGGAAGAGTCAGTGATGTTTCTTCAGACCAGAACCACCTTATTTTCTAGTGTTTAGGAACTGTTACATTAACACAACTGATGCATAAGCTGTTACTTTCTGTGTGCCAAATGTTGGGGGGATGGGGGATTGCTGCTGTGAGCATGTTCCTTGGAGAATAGTTTCTGTGTTTTGCAAATATAAATAACCTTCAACATCAGCTTAGCTTAGTATTCTTGCTGATCAGCACAAATCTGCCATTCAGTTGGTAATTAATGGGCCTCTTATGGATCCTTCTCTTTTCCTCCCAACCAAGCTCCTAAATATGCCATTGCTCCCAAAACAGAATTCTCTATACATCTCGGAGACTGAGATTATTCTACTCCAGGAGGGAGGTGATAATCAACCACAAGAAGAAACAGCCCAGAGGTTTTTTAGGGACAGTTTCCTCATTCGTTGTTTGACTGTAATCTGTCTTCAGAACCCCCAAGTTAAAAAGTTGTGAAACAGTATTTTTTTATTGTTGCTTTTTCTCACACAGTGAAACAGGCAACATTCGAACGCTGATTTTCCCAGTGATGTATATAAATGAGGTAAGTATTTTTGTTGTTTCCTTGCATCATTGTGCTATGTGTATGCTGGCAAAACCACTGTTTTTGACGTAACCAGAAAAGAAAATGGTCTTGATTACTTTTATACAGTGATAAGTAGGAAGCTGTCGCTGTTTCTTAACTAACATCCTCTGCTACTTGTTGACCATAGCATCAAGTTCAGCCCTGCAAAACACTCTCAGACAGTCTTTTTAATTTCAAAGGTCTTTGAAAGGGTCAAAGGCTCATGAGGAAAAGGGATGCTCAGATGGAGGTGGGAGTTCACAAGACCAAATCGTTTTTTTGGTATCATCTGTTTTGAATATTCCTGTGCTTTAGCTGGATCACTGAATTAACTGGATTCGGGAGGACTCTAGGGTACCAGTTTCAATGATGCAGGCCTGTATTGTTCCATGCCTAAACTGAGAGTTAAAAATCTACTTTCTTTTGAAATACAGACTAGATGAAGCAGTCTCATACAAAGGAAGAACAGAAATCGATCTTTTTTTTTACCTCCTCACATTGATCTCTTCCAGAGTGTTCTGATTGATGAAGCATCTGCCAGCAAACTCAAGCATGTCCTGCTGGAAGCCAGTGTTGTAATTGGAATCCCATTTGTAATCATGGCTCTAGGAATTGTTTTTGGGATTGTTTTTATTGTGCTGGTGTGCAGGTCCCGAGGAATAAGTGAAGAGGTCAGTAGCATTTGAATTTGGCCTTGCTTACTGTATATCTGCCTGAATTTGATTTTCTTTCTGTTGCTTTTTACCTGCTCAGTGTCTTTGTGCACACAAACATTTTTATATGTTGTTTTTTGTTTAACGTGACCTTTCTAGGGAAGGGAAGTTCTAATAGACTCAGAATAAATCGCCAAAGCAAAGGAATGGAGCTAATATGAGGAATGTGGTAAGGCAGGCTGTGTGTCCTCTGCCCAATTCCCTTTCCAATAGCAGTGAAAGAATCAGCCTGTCTAGAGGACCCTGGTGGATAAGATGTAAGAAGTCCACTGTATTTAAGAACACTGTCAGAACACAGTCTGACAGTGTTCTCAGAAACAATTTTCAGAATCATAACGCAAATCTACTACCAAGGAATGGGTGAATTTTACAGACAGCAGCATGCAGAAAGTTTTCTCCCGACAGTACTGATTTCTAGGTCTATTTATGAAAAGTCCTATCATAACCTGACATGCTGGCATTAAGGTTGCTAGTCATGCTGAAAGCTGATGCCAAAATTTCACCCTTATATGCAAAGCAGTCAGGTTCAGAGAAGACAAACTACAGATCCTCTGGTTAGAGAAATAGACTGGGTACTCTAGTAGGCTGTTTTCTCCTCGTAGTTGCTGTTGTCTTATCATGATCTTGCTTGTATGGTGTTTCCTAAATACTACTTTTTAACAGTGTGACAAAGCACCCTCACACCTACCTCCAGAGCACCCAGCCACTCTGTTCATGTGCTTTGTCTTAGTCCAGTGGGACTTGGGAGTGTGATGGTACTGGCAGGGGTGGTGGCACTTTGGCAGCAAGGTCTCCAGCCTCCTAGCCTCAAGTGGTGGCTTTGAGAAGCTGATCTTTGGCTCTCTTGGCTTCATTCTTAATTCTCTCATGAACCAATAGTGGTTCTTCAGGTTTCTTTACAAGAGAGACTTTTGCCATTAAGCGTTTGAGCTTGCCTGTTATTGGCTGGCTCAACTAGAGAGTCAAAACTGTCCTATTGCCTGAGGCCCCTGTCCCAGGCATTCCTGCCCAGCCCTACAGGTATAGCTTTGCATCAGCTCTCTTTGATGTTCCTGAACATTGTACAGGGATTAAAATGAGAACGGGACACCTAAATTCCATGTTTTCTCTACATTGCCTTTGTTGCTTTTCTTGCAAAAAGAAGTAATTCAGGTAGTTAATACTCTCTTTGTGATCCCCTCCACTGCAGTTATGGCCTTCTATCATCTGTAAGGTGCTGCTGTGAGCCTGATGTCCCTGCCCAACCTGCCACCCACCCTCTGGTACTTTTATAGCGCACTGCTGATTCTCTTACAGGAAATTGTACTTAGGAGTAGGAGCCAAGAGCTTTTTGCTTTCTTGTTTGGAATCTCAGCCATGCAGCTTCCCCATCATGGAAGCCCTCTGATGTGTCACATCTAACTTGCTCTGTTGTGATTTTTTTCCTTTCAGAGTACTGAAGATGAAAGGTCGCCGCTCATCAGGACATCTTAGTAGGTCTCCTTTAACACATGAGCTTGGAGAATAAATTATTAGAGCTGACCTAATACCAACTACCACTACCCAGCATTCTCTACTGCAGAGAAACAATTGTGTCAAGTGTAACTTTTTGTGGTATAGAGATGGAAGAGAAGCTGGCTATCTTGAAGGGAGGAGACTTTTCTTACCAGCTAAGTTACAATTACATTTTCAAACTGCTTGAGATCCTGCTTTTTCCAACCCCGCACTCCCTTTGTACCTGCACTGACAACCATAGATGATCATAACCACTGTATCATTGAAAATAAAATGGCCTGAATCAATACAGAAACAAGACAAGGGACATTTGCAAATGGCCTGGGGAGTGTGGGCTGCAAAGGACTTTCTCGGAACACACCAGGATCCTGTGTGCCCTGGAACAACGGACAATTGGGCTTTAGGCCTAGGCTTCTCTTTTCTGTCAAGTGTTGTGCGCTACTTACTACCAGTATGCACTGACTGTGTATTATTCATGTCTTCAGTCCTTTTACAAATGTATTTGTACAACTAATCCAAAAAACTGAGTGAAACCTTGTTCACCACCTCTAGTTCCCAGGTAAAAGGAGGCTGATGATTTGAGATGTGATGCTGTATAGACCTCTTCACTATTGTAATTCAGAACAGGACCCCCCTGCATATTACAATGCGTTTCTCCTTAAGGTCTGGGGTTTTTCAAACCACACCACAGCACAACATTGTTCTTGATGGTGGAGGGTTCAAACATTGTCTTCTTGTTCCACTGGTATTGGTGTCATGGTTGTCAGCTGGTTTAATGTGAATGCAGACTTGGCAGTTGACTGTTGAGGAGAAAAGCACATCTCCATGTTAAGGTAGGCGTAGGGCTTTGAGAAGTCATAAGACTTATTTTACTTGTCAAACGGAAACTTGTTTTAAAAATCACAAAGGTATTTTTCCCCTGATTAAAAGAATATTCTTGTGGAGGAGTATTCCCGTTAGACCTAGGGAGTGAAATGTATTTTAAAAATGTATTATTGTCTTCTAAATAGAGGCATTGGGTTTTGCATTGTCTTGGTTTTGTGTTTGTTTTTTTCCCAAGATGGTAATGTGTTCAACAGTTTCATTCATCTGGAGCCAGTTCCACGCAGGAAGTTTGAGTGACTGCAATTATTTATCATTTTTATTAGCTAAAAGCACCAGGCACAGTGTGGGCTCCTCACAGTACTGCAGTTGCAGCTTTGCCTCTTCAGAGTGTTTGCCACGGCAGAGGCCAGAGCTGGTATCTTGAACCTCGGCCAAGGACTGATCAGGCACTTGCCTGCCTCTTGCTCTGGGGAACAAAGAGCTTCTCACAACTTCCTGCAGTGATCTTGTCAAGGGAGTTGGGCTGAAGATTCAGCAGGCTAAAACTGTCACTTCACACACCCCCAAAGAGTTGCTGTCTGAGTGGTAGAACAATGCTGTGAAACTCCTGGGGAACTCTCTGCTTTTACCCACATACTGCTCTTGCATGTTCTGGATGCCAGATGCATTGGTGAAAGTCACAGCTACCTCTTTTGTGCTATTCATAGAATCCCAGAATGGTTTGGATTGGAAGAGACCTTAACGCTCACCCAGTTCCAATCCCTTGCCACAGGCAGGGACACCTTCCACTAGAGCAGGTTGCTCCAAGCCCTGCCCAACCTGGCCTTGAACACTGCCAGGGATGGGGCAGCCACAGCTTCTCTGGACACGCTGTGCCAGGGCCTCACCACCCTCACAGGGAAGAACTTCCTAATGTCTAATCTCAGTCTCCCATCTGTCAGGTTGAAGCCATTCCCCCTTGTCCTGCCCCTACAGGCCCTTGTCAAACGCCCCTCTCCATATTTCTTGTTAGCCCCTTTTGGCACTGGAAGCTGCTCTAAGGTGACCCCTGAGCCTTTTTGGGGCTCAATAGCCCCAACTTGCTGGAAGGAACCTGTCGTGGGGGGAAACCTCGTGGAGAGCGCAGCAGCGCCCGAGTCACTAATCCCCGTCCGGCGCTGGTGAGTGCTTATCGCGCCTTGAGCAACAGGAGGGGCACGGCTCCCCCGTGGAGCACGCCATGATCCCCTCCCGTCACCCACACACATCCCCGACGCCACCGCTCGTAGTGGTACAACCCGGAAGCGCTTGGCAGCAGCGGCCGGAAGGCGGCGGAAGGGTTTATTTTATCGTTGCACCCATCGGGGCTGCCCGTATCCCACCGCGGCTCCGCCAGCCAGCACCTCATGGCCTTTAACTTCGGGGCGACGGCGGGCGCTGGGGCTGCCAACCCCACCGGTGAGCAAGGAGGGTCCCGGCCCGGGGAGGGACTGGGGGGCGGCGGCGGGTGTTGCCTCCCTGCGGCGCGGTAGCCGAGCCCCAACGGTCCTGGGGGCGCGTGCCCCCCCACCAATGAGAACCGGTACCCCCTCAGCGGTGGTCGGGCGCGCGGTGCTCTCCTCGGAGCAATCCGCAGCCCTCAGCGGTGCCGGGACGTGCGGACAACCCCCTTCATACCCATCTGCAGCCCCTCAGCGAAGGCGGGGCGCCCGGCCACCCCGATGATACCGAACCGCAGCTCCATATCGGTGCCGGTGCGCCCGGGCACCCCTGTGATACCGAACCGCAGCCGCACAGCGGTGCCGGGGGGCCGGGGCGGCCGGTCCTCTCGCCCCCCGGGCTATCCGCAGCCTCTCAGCGGTGGCGGAGACCCCGGTCCCTGGTTTGCCCAGAGCACTGCGGGCACGGCCGCGGGAAGCTGCTTTCGGCGTGGCTCCGGCGGGGCCGGGTGTAGCCCTTCCTGCTCGTCTCTTCGCGGCAGAGCCGGTGAGATGCGCTTTTCTCCCCGGTTTTCTCCCCCGCTGTTCTTCCTCGCCCTCCTTTAGTCAAACACGGTCCCCGCCGTACTGGCCGAGTTCCGTTCGTTTTTTATCTCCTTCCCGCGTGAACAGTAGGCCGTGTCGGGGGACGTCCGGGGACTTCGTCCTGCCCAAAGAAGTGTAAGTTGCTCTTAGGGCGCTTGTGCCATGGTGATTGATGCTCGGTGGTGCCTGCTTAATGCTGCCAGGTCACTCGAATCATCACTTGATTGCAGTAGTGTTCCTGTTTGATTGAGATGCTCTTGTAATTTAATTTTTGAGCAATGTAAAAGTGTTTAATTTGTAAGATGGAAAAAGCCTTTTTTCCTTTGTTTTGCTGTTGTTAATTGACTGTCGGTCTTGGTGAAATGTAAGCCGGAGCGTGCCTTACTCTAACTTAGTGCAATCTTTGTTGGCTCTTACTCAGAGTAGACACTCTGGATAAGTCCTTTGGACAGGGCTCATCTTCACTGTAGTTAGCTTGGTCTGTACCATGCGGTCTTTCACTCTGGCTGATTTAGACGTGGACTTTCTGGCCTCATCTTCAAGTAAAAGATAATCTCGCGCTGCTTGTACGCTGCTACAGGGTTTATGGTGCTCACAGACCAATATTAGAGGGAGTTCTGGGATCACACTTGTCGTTGTCTGTCTAGTGTGAAGCTGTTCCCAGCTCCTCCTAGGAGAGAACTGGGGAGCTGCTCTGTTAGCATTTTTCTTAGAGCTGAAAAAACCTGGATGCATCAGGTAAGTTATCGTCAAGCCCTGGAGCTGACAGAGTTTGCAAATACAACTTGAATAACTCTGCCTGGGAGTATTTGAGGCACACGTGCTGTCTCGGCTGCTGGGCTTGTATTTTGTGGTTATTCTGCCATTGCTGTTCATGTCTAGGTATGGTATTAGCATGAAAATAGTTTATTCTTGTCTTCCTGATAGCTTATGAAATAATTATAGAATCATAGAATAGCTAGAGTTGGAAAGGACCTTGAGATCATCAAGTTCCAACCCCCCTGCCATGGGCAGGGACACCTCGCTCTAAACCATATCACCCAAGGCCTCGGCCAGCCTGGCCTTGAACACTGCCAGGGATGGAGCATTCACAGTCTCCCTGGGCAACCCATTCCAGTGCCTCGCCACCCTAACAGGAAAGAATTTCCTCCTTATATCCAACCAAAATTTCCCCTGTTTAAGTTTTAACCCATTACCCCTTGTCTTATCAAGTACAGTCCCTAATGAAGAGTCCCTCCCCAGCATCCCTATAGGCCCCCTTCGGATACTGGAAAGCTGCTATGAGGTCTCCGTGCAGCCTTCTCCAGACTGTACTGTTGGTGCCACTAGTGCAGGTGCAGCTGTATTGAGCAATCTTAGGTGGTTAAATATTGCTCTTAACAGGACTGTTGAATTGCATGGATATTTTCATGTGTAGCTTTGTAATAAGATAGGAAAAGTGTTGCCTGCTTTATATACAGTATAGTTGAAAAATAACAGCAGTGAAGTAGGGAGAGTGGGTCAAACAGGAAACTTCTAACTGTCCTTGTCTTCAGTAAAAAATGTTTAATGCCAGTTAATATCTCGCTCTTGTTTTTAACTATGCCTGTCTTGTCTATGGTGATGGAAAAATATTTGAGTTTTTCTTTCCTGAAACTACCTTTTGTTTAGAACTAATGTTGCCTTGCTCTTTTTCTGCTTCCCGCTTGTCAGGATTTGGTGGGCTTGAAACTACAAACTCCACTGCCAGTGGGTTTAATTTTGGTGGTTTTGGCTTAACTGCTAATCCTGCAGTGAATTTTAATATTGGGAATTTCGGTGTTTCCACTACCTCAACTCCACCATTCAATTTTGGTAACAGTCTGGCAAGTGCAGGTAGATAATTCATAAATACTTGTTCTGTTATAAATGTTAATAGCAGGGGTCCAAGAATTACATTCCAAACTGAGAATCCATATTTAGTGCTACTCTTCATATCCTGTGAAGGCTGAAGATAAAAGCTTTGAAAGTGGAATGGGTTTGAGAGCCACTGGCTTTTAGAGGTTTTGCCTATTAAATTCTGAAGAAACAGCTGCTGAGGAAAAATATGAATGTACCAAATACTCAGTCTCTGAAATGGAAATGAATTGTAGTAACATATTAGTCTGACCCAGCCTAAAAATGAGCATAAATTACCTAGCAAAACAGCATCAGTTCTCTGTTCAGACACAGACAATAATGAGCCATCGTAGAGCTGGTCCCTAACTCCACATTTTCTGACATGAGATTCTTGGACTACTGCAGTCATGTTTTCCATCTTCCCCCTGTGTCTCCTCATTGGCCCTCTGTTGGCTGTCATGAATGCACCACATAGTTTCTGTGGAGAAACAACTTGTATACGATCAGCACAAAATGAACAGCCCTTCCTGTGACCTGTTTCCTGAAGGCTGTTCTGAAACAGCACCCACCCCAGGCTCTTGTTAAGAGATCATCTGCATGGTGTGTGTGCTGGGTGCTGACTGTAAGAACTGTCCATAGCCCATGTAGAGCCACCATTTCTAAGGATCAGGTGATACCATTTCAAGTTAAGTCTTTTCCATTTCATATAAAAATGCCTAACTGTATGGATTTCTAATGCTTTTACTTATGTAGAATTAGCCTATGGGGTCTCGTTGCCACTGCTAGTTGAGGAATTACAGTCATTTCAGAGTGCCATTGCTCCCTGCATTTAGTGTACTCTTACCTGTTTTGTGCGTGTGAGGGTTTTGTTTTTATTTGGTATGAACACTATTGGACTGTATTTCTTCAGCTGAGTTGAACTGCTGCAGGAGAGAACTTGGATACTTAATTGTGTTTAGCAGTTTGCACTCCTAGATCCCTTTTCCAGAAAGGATGACTAAATTTACTGTGAGTACAAAAATACCTAAAAAACTGTGTTATCTGATGGCACTGCTGCCAGGGTTTCTCACTCATTGGTAGCTCCAACGTCACAGGGAACAAATTCTCTCCATTGACATTAAGATGTTTCCTGAATGAAACGTGATTGCATGTCAGCTTTAGTCTAAGCTTTTTTTTTTTTTTTTATGTCTACAAGAGGATGGCAAGTGTTGTAGGTCTAAGAGACTTTTTTTTGCTGTTGACGTGTGAGTAAGCAGTGGCAGAATCTTTTTGACAAATCCTTTGTCACAGACTGTTTTCCTTCATTTGAGTATATGTAAAGCCAGCTAGAAATGGAGAGAACTTGGTGTCCTGGGGCTAGTCAGAAGGCCACAGGTGTCCACTGGCACCACTGGAGCAAGGAGGTAGTGTGGTAGCACCCATGCAGCTTCACATGCTGGGAGGCCATCCACCTCTCCTGGCACAGACACCCTGTACTGGGGCACCTCCTCTGAGGGGACAGATGAGAAGAAGGTGCTATCTTAGGGCTTTCTCTGGCACAGTGGAGCTCAGGCACTTACTTCTCCTGCTAGCCATTGACTGGTTTTCCTGAAAATCTGTGGAAGTCTGATTGCTTTTGTGTCTGTCTTCTTCTGATAGAGATTGAACTGCAAAATGAGATTTAACAGGGAGGATAGTAGGGAAACTAGGCTTATAAAGAAAAACCTTGTAGAATTTTACCTGTGCGTAGAAAGAAATCGTTGCTGTGACAGCATTCCTGTTATGCACACAGCGATCTTGTCCACCCTAGCCTCCTGATGTGTTTCTGGTTTTCCTCTGAAGAGGTTAGGAATGTTTAAAAAGCTCACACAGGTCAGATTGTTTATTAAACACTTAGCAACCACACTGACTGTTTGAAGTATTCCTCAGAAGGAATCTAAGTAATACTATTATGAGTTGTGTCTGTCATTAAGGAAAGCACATCCTGCTAGTAAAGGAACAGGATGGTAGCCCACTGCTGCTTTTTTACTTGCTTCTGTGGCACACCATTGATGTATTGGCTATCTGGTTCATGTTTTCTCCCCTATAAACTCGATACCCATGATCTATGTGAACTACATGCTTGTAACATAGCACATTGTCTGTCAGCATCTTTTCTCATAACACTCTTTGGTGCCTGCAGTTTTTTGTTGTGTTATGCACAGATGTTGCTCACAATATTCCATCTACCTTACTTGTGATCTTTGTTTATTAGGTGCTTTTGGAGGATTTGGGACAACTACCACCACTGCAGGACCAACATTTAGTTTTTCTGCTCCTACCAATACAGGCACCAGTGGTAAGATAGTACAAGTCCAAAAGGATTTGCTTTAGAACAAACTGTGGGGCATCAGCCCTTCACAATGATGTTTTGGGTTGAGCAGGTATCTTCTTCTCAATAATTATTTGCTTATTTCCTCAGGACTCTTTGGTGCTACCCAGAACAAAGGCTTTGGATTTGGTACTAGTTTTGGCACAGGCACTGGAACTGGCTTAGGCAGTGGGTTGGGAACTGGGCTGGGCTTTGGAGGCTTTGGCACCCAGCAGCAACAGACCAGTAAGTACAGCCTTCTCTTGATTTACCCCTTCCCTGGCAACAAAAGCATAAGGCTGCAGCAGGCATACAAGTAGTTGGATGGAAGTGTGTTATAAAAGGAGGCTGTTACACTTCTCTTCTGATCGATGGATGCTTCTCAGAAACTTGGCTTTTGAAATGCCTATAATTGCAGCCCTTGCTTTTTTCTTAAACAAGAGCTCAAACAAGCGTCTGAGTTTCACCCTTCAGTTTTCCAGCAGCAAATCCCCCTTTGGTTTTGGTGGTGGTTAGGGGTAGTTACAGAACTGATGCTTGCAATGATAGCATTACTAGAAAGGTGAGGAAGTGGGGCTGAGTTTAGTTTAAATGTGTCTTGGATCATGACCAGTGGCAGACTGAGTGCGCTGAATTTATAACAACAGATCTGTCCTTCAGATTGAGGTCTTGAAGGTGCCACATGATATCATGTGTTGATATAAATGTCTTATTTAAAGAAAAACTAATCTCCTGACTCTTCTAAGGTCAAAAACTTCTGTTGCTGATGAAGATGGAGTATAAAAAGACACTTTAAAAAAACATCCAATTTTGATTATTCTATGCATTTATTTTGCTTCTCAAAATATGAAAGAAGTGATACCAATGATACACAGATGGTATGTGTTAACAAACGAGTCTTAGTTGTTAAAAGAGTTAATTTGTTTTCCTTCATCCTACACAGCGTTAGGAAGTGGGTTGTTCAGCCAGCCTGTTCAGACCCCTGCCCAGTCGAACCAACTGATCAACACAGCAAGTGCCCTCTCAGCTCCAACACTCTTAGGAGATGAGAGAGATGCTATTTTAGCAAAATGGAACCAGCTGCAGGCCTTCTGGGGTACAGGCAAAGGGTACTTCAACAATAACATTGCTCCAGTGGAGTTCACACAGGAAAACCCCTTCTGCAGGTTTAAGGTATGAATTGTTCACCTGATCACGAGCAGTTCTGAAGCAATTGCACTACTTGCTGGGTGGTGGAGGGTCTTGTGAACATTACATCATTATTACATCATGTGAACATTAATTTTTGTTAAGAGTATCCTGAAAGAGTGTTTTTCCAGGTGATGTACACAGTTCTGATGAGTGCTAATGAAAAGGTTTAAAGACGTATAGATGCTGGAACTCTGGGCATTGTTACAGTACTAGATAACATGTGCGTATGTGGATCATGAAAATGATATTTTCATGTGATAGTGTTCTAATTAGTGTGTGTGTAGTTGCAGCAGGTCTCTAGGAATTAATTTCAGTAGGTATTTGTTTAGGTTACAGTATTACAGAAACTATTTAAAATAACCTTCTAAATAACAGTCAAAAGAAACTGTAAACATCTGGAAGAAGAACTTCAGGGTCTGTACATACCATTTTAAGTACAACAGCCTTCAGATTTCTTCTGCTTTTATACTTGCCAGTGCTAAAGCTCACTCTCTGCCCTATGTGATATTGTCAGCTATGCCAGATCCTGCATCTCATCTGAGCAAAAGATGACTTTCTTGCTAAGCTTCAAGCTTGTCAGTGGATTCGGGTCAGGGATGGTGATATCCTCCTTTCCCAAGCCAGTTCTTTTGAAGCACAAACTTTCTAACCTGTATGTAGGTTAATACCTAATTAAAACTAGTTTTGATTATGCACATCATGACAATTTTATAAAATCTTTACAGCAACTGAGTGCCTTTGTAACAAATATTTGGCTTCTGTTGCATTACCTTTTTAGGTGTTACCTTGAATATTTTCTTGACAATGCTCCTGAAAGCTTGCTTTCCTGTAAGTTGTGGCCTGGAATGGCTTTATAGCTTTCTGGCCTTTGAAAAATTGCCGAGTATTAGTTGTGTGATGCAAAATTTGTTATCTTAGAGTTTCATTTACTAGCAGAAGTTTTCCTTTCAGGTTAGACAGTGCCACATACTAGGCTTACTTTTGTCCTTGTGACTTGAGTGTTACTAATACCATTATGAGTCCGCGTACCTTAAGTTACATACTGAAAAGTTCCATGAATGCCATCAGTGGCAGATGCCTAAGGAAAATGTTGGAGAAGTTGGTAGCATGGGTATTGGAGCAGTGTCATAATGGTTTATTGCCTCTGTAAGCATCAGACATCTAATAAGAATGAAGCATTGCCCAAAGGGTTTCACAGGTGTTCAAGGAATGCACTTGCACCCAGTTCCAGCTCTAGAACAAATGAGAAGTATGCAGGTCTTTACCAAGAAAAGTGTGCTTCTAAGGCATGTGATACAGACCTTCATTTAAAGGACCATAACAAAGCAGATAATCTGTTACAGTTTGAAAATGCTTAATTGCATAAAGAAATTGTGAAAGATATATTTAAAACCAAATGTATGTGTGGTCATAATACTACTTTGCACATAATGAGATTTAATCTTCCATGTACTGTCAAGTCGTTCCCCATGGGGTGGGCCTCTTTCACAGCCATGAAAGTGAAAGGCATGTACTTAAACCCAAATTCTTGCTTAGCTGTCATTGTTGTGCTCCACCACAGGATGGCCCAACTGAGGAAGTCTGACTCGTGGTGTTAAGGAGTTACCCTCCACTGATAAAGCCCAGGCTCTTGGGCACATCTCCAACTCGTTTCTCTCTTCAGCTGAACTTACACAGGGGAAAGGCGCAAGTCACCCATTCAGACGCAGTGTTAGGGCCTGAAAAAGCACTGACTGCCCAACATGTCACCAGTGACAATGAGACAATGACAGTTTATGGGCAAGATGAGATGGAAATAGCTGCTCTGCTTACAATGAGTTAACAGTTTAGATCTTTCTTACACAAATCACATGGAGTTTACACTGGAGTTGACAGGGGATTTTTGAAACAGGTAAAGCATGATGTCACTTAGAATGGATGACAGAAAGTGTTCCTGTATTAGATTATGATGTTGAATTAAACATTTAACCTTGCCACAGCTTTATCACATCAAGGATAAAGATAACATTAAACTTTATAAGCAGTTGTACAAACAGAACTTGACACTTACACTTGCTTACACAAAGAAAATTGACTGTCCCAAATTCTTACTTGATGCATGTCTTATCTAGTAGAAATACACCGTGTCTGTGTTTTGACTTGTACTGCCAAGCAAACTGTCCTGGATTTACAGGAGAAAAGTGCGGAGAAACCCATAAAGATTTAATAGTTGGCTTATCTTTCGGTTTTGTTATGTCAATAACTGGTTTTCATTCAAGCAACTGGAAAGGTAATACTGTAAATTGTTCTGTATAGAAACTTGGTCCTCTGGTTCCTTTTGCAACTTGGAAAACACGTAGATTTGTACCGTGTTCCTGGTTGGTATCAGCTCTGAAGTAACATAAATACTCTGTTGAGTTGGCTTCTCCCTGTCCATAGCAGCCTTTTTTTTTTTTTTTTTTTAAATGAAAGTGGATAATTTTTGTAAGTATTTGGACTGTTTCAAAAGCTGGTGGCCTTGTGAGAGAACATTTAAGGTGAGTAGATTTTTTGTTTCTGCATTGCTGAATATGCAGTAACTTAAATTTCCAACCAGTTGCTCTACAAATTGAAGGCTTCAGCCCTTCCCCTTGATGCCACATAGATACGTTTTTGCTAAGTAATACATCCCCAGTTTTTGTTTGTTCATTTGCAGGCTGTGGGTTACAGTTTAATGCCCAACAACAAAGATGAAGATGGCCTTGTGGTCTTGGTCTTTAACAGAAAAGAAGTAGATATTCGAAGCCAGCAGCAGCAGCTCGTAGAATCACTACACAAAATTCTGGGGGGAAACCAGACACTCACTGTCAACGTAGAAGGTGTTAAAACAATGCCGGATGACCAGTATGTGACCTTGATGAAGCTTTGGCTTTCTGTCCAGTATTACATGTTGTGAAGGGATGTGCTTAGTCTGTTTTGGCTCTCCTTGACTTTAGATCTGTTTTATCCTGAGTTCAGTTTTGTGCGTCTAATTCCTTGGTGTTGCTTTTTTCTGAAGGTTTTAAGACTATTATCTTTCCTGTGTATGTTACGTGCTTTTGCTGGAGTTCAAAGCTGAGGACCTCAGCTAAGGTCAGGAAGTAGGCTTCTCCAGACCCTGCTCAGCAGCAGCAGTTGGAGATAAGGATGCTAACCATGAGGAAGAGATAAATACTTCATATTTTAGGAGCTGTGAAGTTTTTTTCACTTGGTCACGCATAAGATGGAATGGCATTGGGGTGTATTGTAATAGTGACTTTGCAGTGTTCCATGTCTCAGATGTTTGTTTTACTGGGAAAGCTATTCCAAGGCTAGCAGAGTGGTCTCATTCTGCATGTCTTATGTCAGAGAGCTATCTGCTTGGAGTTGTTTGGGGGCCTCAGGCTACTCTGCTTGAAGTACTTCGTTCAACACACTGACATTTCTGCTTCTTACTTTCACACTGTTCATTCTGTTTCAAAGACCAAAGGTTTTAGGTTATTCTTAATGTAGTAGTAGTAGTATCGCCATATAACATGCTTGTTAAAAAGGGTGCTGTGGGCAGAATGTAATTCTGTAGAGTATTGTCAATTTTCTCTTTCTGCCTTGCTGTGTTAAACCCTGTGTTTATTGGTATTTTGTATGTCAGTTACCTCATAGAAATTAACTGTCGGCTGGGAGAGGTGGTAACTTTGATTTAGGGTTGTTCTTTGTTGTGTTAGTTTCTGTATACTGCTGACCTCTTTCTGACAGTATACATGTTGTCTGGCTCAGGACAGAAGTGATAATTTACGTTGTTGAACGCTCACCCAATGGCACCTCGAGGAGAGTACCCGCAACAACCCTCTACGCGCACTTTGAGCAACCCAACATCAAGTCATCCCTGCAGCAGCTGGGTGTCAGCTTCTCCATGGCCAGAACAGAGCTTTCCCCAGCACAAGTCAAACAGCTCCTGCAGAATCCTCCTGCTGGTATGTTGTCTGGGGCTGCAGAGGGGCACAGGTGGACCTCTGCTGCGGCTTTTTTGGGCCTCTGGGAAAAATGATGGTGTTGGGCAACTGGAAAACACCTTTTAAAACGACAGGAGTTTCCAAGGCACTCTGATATACTCTTGTAACGGGATTTAATGACAGCAGGTTTTCCCGTGCAATGTAGTCTGCCAATACGGTTATGATTTATCAGTAATATGCCACACAACACTATACTATATGATGCAGCCATCATAAATCCCTTCAACTTGTGCAGTTAAAAAAGTTCAGTATCAGAATCATCATGTCCTATATTCACTGCCTAATTTTCAGTGGGGTCACTTAGCCTATGTATGTGGCTGAAGGTAGTACATAGCTTTGTTTTAGAGCAGGCAAGTGCGATTTGTGCAATTTCAGAGGATAATTGTAGCTAATGCTGTGTCTATACAGTATTCCATGTAATACTTGAAGGGAATTCCCTGCAGGAGGTCAGGGAAAGCAACCTGTGGTTTCCAGCAGCCAGTATGGAGCATGTTCAGTAAGACCATAGTGTTTAAAAGCACAGCAAAGGTTATATCATCTGGATGGCAAAAAGAACTTGGCCTACTGCTGCAGGACAGAGACAAGCTGCACTGTTTCCCAGCTGCTGCAGTGCTGGGGAGTAACTGCTCTGTGCACAAGCAAGTTAGCTGTTTAATGTTGGAGGTGTATCATGGGGCCTGTGTAGTGATGGTTGGGCACATCTTGTTAGTCCATGACTGAGAGGGAAGCTGAGGTTGTAGGCTTACAAGCAGTAGGGTGGGCAAGGAGAGGTATTAGTGCTGAGCTCAAGAGAAGCAGGCGCACCCCAAGAGTTTTGATATAAAGGCAAGAGCTCTTACAAGGAATGACCTAAAGCATGGTGCAGTGAAGAATGTTGTAGTAGCTGACTGTTCTGGTCTCCTTGAAGATGACCTGAAATTGTTAAATTACCACCATTTCTGTTTTTCTTTTTGCCATGTCTTTCTGGTCAGAAGCTCAGTTGCTTCCCTATCTCTGTTCTGTTTGTTTTTAACTAGCATGCCTACTTATGTGCATTTCATACATGGATCTGATTTGCACTGAGGTTTGGAGAGTAATATCTTGCATCATGATGCTAATGTACATGCACAGTTAAACTGCTTTTTCTTTATGCAATTACCCAGGGAAGCAGTTAATGGCAAAGCAAACAACTCTTCTGTCAACAGATAAAAATCTGTAAATAAATCCTGTTAGGAACCATGATAATTCTTACTGGGATTACTTTTTCCACTGGTTTGGTACTTTGATCACTTAATTATTGATTTTTTTTTTTTTTTTTTAATTTTATGCACTAACCAACCTTAAGAGGAAAGATGACCCAGGTGTAGCATACAGTGGGATCAGCAGGAACTTTTCACCTTGACATATGGATTGTCCCATTTGATTACCTGTGGGTTGTTCCTTTCCTATGCTTTTAAACCAGTAGAAGTGATTGACAGCCTTTTGGACTGAACTTAGTGCCACGGTCTGCAACCAAGACTTACTTAATGAACCTTAATGCGTATAACAGTCATTCAGGTTAGCATAGTTGAGAAGGTTTGTAACAGCTGTAAGATATGATATCTGTTCAGATCTATCCACACTAAAAACTTGTCTGTTTTTTTAAGGTGTTGATCCTATTATATGGGAACAAGCCAAAGTTATTACAGAAAGGTGAAAAATATACAATATTGTTTAGTACCCTTCAGGTAACTTGTAAGAAACTAATTAGAGAATAACTTTGTCAAGTGCTGATCTCTTTTGAAGCAGTGAGGATTACTAGAAGTGCCAGTCTAATCCCTTTAACCTCTTAGGTGCTTAAGGTTTGTCAGGATCAAGAGCCTTACTTGGATTACTTCCAGTTGTTTTGTCCTCCATTATATGAATTGGTTATTGTGACTTAGTTTTTGCAGCCATTATATTTTTTCTCTTTATTCCTGCAGCTGAAAGTGATGTACCCTTGTACCCTCAAGTGATTACAGATAACTTAGGCTGATTTCTTTATGAAAAATGCATGGGTTGTTAGAAACAGTGAGGACTGTAGAACATAGCAAAACAAGATATGTCTTATTTTGTAATAAACTAAGATTATCTGTAACTTCATAGTAGATTATATTCATGAGTATTAATTCACATCACCTATTTAATATGAAAATGTGTTGTAAGAGATACTTATATTCTTACAGACTCATTCCTGTGCCATTGGTGGGTTTCAAGGAACTATTGAGAAGGTTGAAGGTCCAAGATCAGATGACCAAACAGCATCAAACTCGATTAGATGTAAGGTTTCTTATCTTATCATGACTGCTTGCTGTTGATGAAAGATGGGCTATTAAGGAGCCTCCCCCTATGCCTGTTTTGAAAACTGGAACCATGTGCATGGGGCTGTGACTCTATTTCTTCATATATTTCTTCATTATATCTTTTGGCCAAAACTGAGCAGTGCAGTTTGGTTTGGGTTTTTTTTAGGTTCAAGCTTCCTGTGTTGTTACAGGCTAATCCAAACCAGCTGAATTAAGTTGCACTGGCATGGACTCTTAATTTGGGTGCCCAGTTTTCTGATACCTTCTGAAAATCCCAGTTGCATATGAAAATAAATAGAAATCAGAGCCATAAAAAGCAAAAAGCTTTCTGAAAGCATCTTTGAAACTCCCTATTTCAAATCAGGAATAATGTGTTCTGTTATCAGAAACTCTTATGGTTTCTAACTGACTCCACCTCCTCTGCAGATAATATCAGAAGATATCAGTGAGCTGCAGAAAAACCAAACGACAACTATGGCAAAAATTGCCCAGTACAAAAGGAAACTGATGGCACTGTCTCACAGAACATTACAGGTAACATGGATAGTCTAAGAAACTCATTCTGACATACAGTGTAGTGCCAGAAGGCAAACTGAGAGAGGGCAGGATGATCTGTACAATTTTGTACATGGACAATGTTGAAAATGAAATTCTGACTTCATCAAATGCTGTTATTTAAGTAACAGCAGAGGTCTCAGGGAAGGCCTCCAATGCACAGCATGTCATACTGCTGTGGGAAGTACACCCTCAGTACTTGGAAGCTGTGGGACTGCCCCAAAGTCACAGAGGAACAGATTAAAGAGAGTAAATCTGATGAGAGACAGCTGGTGGCAGGACAAAAAGACGTGCTTGGGTTAGTGGGGAAAAATGGGTGAAGTCATCTCTAATGAACCTGAAAGACTTCTTTTGGTAGGTGTTAATAAAGCAGGAGATCCAAAGGAAAAGCGGTTATGCCATCCAAGCAGACGAAGAGCAACTTCGTGTACAGTTAGATACAATTCAGTGTGAACTGAACGCACCTACGCAGTTCAAGGTGAGTAGTTAATAGCACTTTGCTAACAATTTTGATTTTTCCTCACAGAAGAATGCAAGTTTTCCAAACCATGCATGTAGAGCTGTTGTGGAAAGCTTTCAGAAGAGAAGTCTAGCAGTATTGCTGCATTGTAGCATCATGCTCTTTGTTGCATCACTGATAGGTATTTAAGCATTTTTGAGTTCAGAGAAATATTGAAGTGGCTTGCCTTTTGCATGTCTTTTCCTCTCCCTCCCCCCTCCCCAAAAAAGAAGTTTAAAATGGAATGAGCAGCAGTGCTTCCAACCCTGGTGCCTCAAGGAGTGGTACATGCTAGAGCTCTGACAGCTGTGAATGAGTTGGATTTGGTTTAAGCCTGTCTCTCTTCCCAGGGCAGACTGAATGAGCTCATGTCCCAAATCAGGATGCAAAACCACTTTGGAGCTGTGTGGGCTGAAGAGCGCTATTATGTAGATGCAGACCTCTTAAGGGAAATCAAACAAGTAGGTATTACTGGGGAGAATCCAGGGATGCTCTGTTAACTTCATAACTTAAGCCAGCTACACAGGAACTTGGGATATCTGTCTAAGAAATTATACCAGGCTTTTCAATCAGCCAAGGCCACAGTACCTTTGAGAAATACTACCTTAAATATGTTAAGTTGGACTATGCTCATGCTGATTTTTAAACTATCTATCTGCAGCATCTGAAGCAGCAGCAAGAAGGTCTGAGTCACCTAATAAGCATCATAAAGGACGACTTGGAGGACATCAAACTTATAGAACAGGAACTGAATGAGAGTATTCCCAGAGGAGTCGTCTTCAGTTGATGCAGTGGATGCTGCTGGGCTTACACAGAAGGTGTTACTCAAGTTCATGGTTTACCTTGCAAGGCTAAAAAAAAAACCATTAAAAAAATAAACCACATACATACTTTCTAAAAACAGTGGTATTTTGGCTGTTATCTTTAGAATTAGCAAAGCCTCTCCTAAGCTTTTGAACTTAACCTTTGGAAGGTTTATATTTTGTAAAGCTGTATATGCTTCAGTAAAAGAAGGACAACTGAATCTGTTCAGATACTGTTTTACTATAAAACTATGTACTGTTGTACATGTTTCCTTTTTTTATCTTTTTTTTTTTTTTTCCTTTTTTTACAACAGCATTGTCCTGGAAATGCAGTACTGATGGAATTGTTCCAACTGTGACTTGGTCTGAAGAAAGCTTAGCTCACTTCCATGTGTTTGTCGAAACAATTAGGTCACATCCTTATGTAAACAGCTAATTTAAATTATTACAGATCCGTATGTTGCTGTACGTACATCGGTCTCTGCAATACCAGTAGCTTGCTGGGGCAAGCTGCTGGAAGTTGATGTTTCCCATTTCTGTCCTTCCTTTGGACTGCAAGAAGGTTATGTTTTCATCACTTGCCCTATGTGAATTATACAAAGCTTTGCTGCCCCTTAAATAACAACAGTATCTCTAGATGTTATCTTCTGCCTTTTTTTAATTGCTGGAGTGTAATAAATTCAGTCTGACTTTGTAATAATTTGTGAATGGTGTTGGATCTTGCTCAGCACCATCAGCAAACCAGTGAACCTACTGGCAGCTCCAGGTTAATGCGTTCTCTCTCCTCCAAGCACTGCAGGTAACGGGTATCAAACCCAAGGTCTCAGAGCTGCTTGGCAGCCTCTGTCCCAACTAAAATACAAGGTCATAGTCCATAGTACTCCAGAGCAGGGGCTACTACAAGTATGGGAGAGACAGCTTCCCCACCCAAGTTGCCTTTTTTTCCTTATTACAAAAGTCACAGAATAACTGAAACAAAAATACATTATTCTCTTTAGTAGGAGACTGTTATGATAGAGACAATAATTTTGTTCATTAGCCACAAAAAAAAAAAAAAAAGAAACAAAATAGGCCAGAACCAGCAATGTAGAAAAAAATGTTTATTAAATGGGAAGTTATGCTCTAGCAGTTGCTACCAGCTTAAAACATTACCTACGAGAAACTACACAACACTGGAAGTAGACCTGTAACATTTCATCACATATGTTGACAAGATAAGCTAAGTTTCACCTTCCCTTTGAGCAGGAAGCTCTACTTGAAACAGCTCCTTAAAAATGGCCAGATTTGAAGTACAGCTTATCTATTTTACCCATTCCCTTTCCAGAATGGATCACTGCTGTTGGCTATAGCAGTGGCTGTTTTCAACCAAGAAGTGCTCCAGGTATCTGCCTTGCCTTTCTCCACATTTGCAGGCACGCTCTGTGGTTAGGTGGGGGGCAGTCCTGGCTTCATGGGTAGTCAAGGCATTGAAGGTGGCAACCCACACCAGGTTCTCACTACTGTGACTGTCTGACAAGGCGGAAGGCTTCTAGGAACTCATTGAAGTCAATGTTTCCATCTTTATTGAAATCAATGCTGCGAACTAAGTCGTTGATGCCATCATCTGTGAGTTCAATGTTCATGTGGGAGCTGAACAGCTTCCACGTTTGGTGGAATTCCTCAAATGAGATGAGGCCTGTGGAGAGGAAAGGAAGACCACAGCCACCTCAGCACAAGGTCACCACAGGCACTGCTGCAAGCAGGGACCCCTGCTCAGGCTTGAACTCTCACCCCACCCCTGCTGCCTGAGTACCCTTAAAAGAAGGAAGGAAATCACTCATCATCTACATTTCACATGCTGCAACTATATTTCCTATCATGGAGAATACTGACTAAAACACAAAGCAGTAAAAAGATATAATGCAGTTTGGGAGAACAAAAGAAACCAAAGACTTGTATTTTCTCTTGCCCAAAGTAATTTGGTGGAGATGACTGCTTGAAAACAGGTAACACTCCAGATCCTAAGTATGCTGCATTACTGTCAGTGCTCTCATTACAGTTTTTGTTCTGCTGAAGTTCAGAACAAAAAAGTTAATTCTCTACCTGGACTGCACAGAGCCCTTAAAAATGCATCAAGTTAGTGGAATCACACAGTGATATTTCAGAAGTTCCTGGGGGAGGAGAAAGACCCAAGCCTTAAACCACTGAATAAAAATGCCTTTGTACATACTAAAGGGGCCCAAAAGTAGAACAGAATACAATGCAGTGACCAGCACCCCTTGCAGACCTGCTTACCTGAATGATCTCTGTCGATGATCCTGAATATAGTCTCCAGGTTGGATCTGTTTCGATAAATGACTTCCAGCAAGCTCGTCTGGATGTGCTGAAAGACAACAAACTCATGCTTCTGCCCTTCTGACAGCTGCCTGCTTTCTTTGAGCAGTTGCTGCTACCTTCACATAAATGAAAACATATACTGCTCTCAAGAGTTTGCCAGCAGTGCACTTAGCATCGTGTGCCTTATGAAACAGGTTGGTGATGACTGGATCCTCTGTGCAACTCTGCATTGTAGCAACTTACTGCTTCCAAACACAGCTTTTCTAGGCTAACAGAGAAGACAGTGATTTGAATTATGCTTTTTAACCATTGCAGAGTTGGTTTTGCTGGGTGTAATTAGAGAAACTGTGACTCAGAGAATGGAATATAGTTTTCCCACTCAAAAGCCTGCATCCAAAACTACCTCTAGATTTTGATCACACATACATCATCTATTTCTGGAATGGACTCAATGTTTCTGGACTGATTCAGTTCACGCAAGCTCTTCCATCAACTTCAGTATGATATTGAATTACGCAAGAACTATCAATTCCCCTGTAGAACCTTTCTTGGTTCCACATGCTGAAGGGATCTGGTGACCTGCGTCGATGGAAGGGGGCGAGGCCTTACCTCTTGGCTCGGCCGCTCCATGGCCAAGTCGTCCAGCCAGGACTTGTATTCCAGCATGCCATCTGCTGTGCTGCGCACCAGCTGTGGCCTCAGCATTCGCCAGGGCAATCCCAAGTGCAAGACTGACTCCACTGCTGTTGCCCAGTTGCTCAGCGTGATCCTTCCTGTAAGGAAAAGATCTCCAAGAATCAGACATCTGGAAGCACATAAGGGCAAAATAAAAGGCCTACAGCAGTACTCATACACAGTCTGCCATGCTGCTGACAGCTACAGCATTATTTCTCCATGGCACACTTCAGCTCTTTGGTGCAGGCAAAATCCCTACATGGCTGTAAAAGCACCAGTCACAAGTGCGTTGCTGCTCCTCCCTGCTTCAGTGAGCTTTGGATCATTGCAGGAAGTCTGAGCCATGAGTCTGCAATCATCTGAACAACAGGAAGACACTAACTTGGGATATTTCGTTATAAATTTGTGGCCTACAGCCAGGGTCACCCTGCAGATTGTGGCCTACACAGCTGCGCTAGTATTTCCTCAGGGACCCCGAAACATGGAAAATCCTCTAGTTTAGCAGCTGCTGGAACAGCTGAACTGGACTTTTGTCAACAATTTGGCTGCCAGAGAAGAAAGCAAGAAAGTAGTTCTACCTAGAAGCAGCCAACCACTGTGTCCCCTTTGTCCCCCAGCCCACAAATGGACAGAACTCAACACCACATCTTGGCAGCTGCACCAGCAGAGCAATCCTGGCAGATGTATAATTATGAACTCTCAGCTCCTTCCTTAAGGCTCTGACAGAGACAGCTGCTACAAAGGACATCCCCCACTTCCCTGTGATTTTAGACTCCAGGGATGAAGGAACATCTAGAGACCACGCAGCCCTTCCCAAGTGACACAACAGACATGTTCCAGGTCAAATTCACCAGTATTGTCTGTATCATAGGCCTTGAACGTGCTGATGAGGGCTGAAGTGTGAGCAAACAGCTTTTCCCGCAAGGCTCGAAAGGCTGACTCCTCTACTCTGCTGATTCTGAAGGGTGCAGAAAAGAGAGAAGCATATTAAAGGGCTTGCCATGAAGTGTGAGAGAAGCTGCACCCTCCCAGTCCTCCGGCCTATCCCTGCATTGCCCAGCCCCTCTCACAGCCACTCTGCACAGCTACAGCTGCATCTAACTGCTCCTGACAAAGCACTGCAGGACAAGCACAGCCCTGCATCAATTTGTGAAGTGAAGCAAAAGGGAACCTCAGCAAGTGTCAAAACTGAAATTTGACATTGAAAAGAGAAACTGGAAAATCAGTCTGTAAGATCCTGTAAGCTCCCTCCTCAACCCTTGAGCCCACACAAAGCTGGAATCCTCCTCTAGCGCTATTATTTAGTAAATCAAGCTGTGAACGTTCAGCTCCAAAGTCAAACATTCTCAAAGCTCCCCAGGTTTTCCCTTGTGGAATTTTGACTTGGTGAATACAGCACAACAGGAAAGCCTTGCCTTTGGGTCATAGTGAGAGTATGGACTGCCTTGTTGGCTTGGTACTGAACAAAATGGGGGACAAGGTCTGGCCCCAGCTTCACGTAGGCTCCTCTGTTGCTGCCAATCTCATAGTAGTTCGAGGCTGAAAATATGGTCAGCACCTAACCCCCCCCCCCAAAAAAAAAGAGATATTTAAGATCAGTACATACATCCTGTATAATATACACATGTATCTGCAAAAACAACACAACCAGTCCTATCTGGAGTTAACAGACTGAAAGCACCATGTTTTATGTGGAAAAGGAAGGGTAAGGTGGCCTGGAAGCCTTACAGGTTGGAGTTTCAGGGCAGTGCAGTTCCTAATGTGGATCTAACCACACGCTGAACTTCTGTGTTCTCCTGACAAACTTCGACTCTCCACTGCAGTTAATGGAGCCAAAAGTGCCCCTGTGGAAGTCACTGAAGTGACCCTGAATCTTCCAAGAGCAAAACTGCTGCAGCAGCTTAGAAACACCTTTTGTATGTCATCTTCAGAAACAGCTGCTTTAAGTGGGGGCAATGGCACAAATGGGTTCAAATCTCAGCTACCACGCACAAGAACATGCTTTGCCTGCACATCAAATGCCCCTCACAGTGTAGGTGGCTCCAGACTGTCCTGACCTAAGACCTCAGCTGGAAACACACTTCAGTAACTCCCAATAAGGCCTTTCAATGATTTTGTATGTACCTAACAAAGTGCCATTGGAAGAAATGCAGAGCTGAGAGGAGCCACCGTAGAACACACACCCTGGCAGGATGGAAACCCAAGTATCCTTCATGCCATCCCCCTCACCGACCTTCCGGTTGTGACAGAACTCGTAGCCCTCTTGCTTGCACTCGTGGGAGCGGATGAGGAACTGCAAGTTGTATTTCTCAAGGATCTTCCTTGTCACATCAGGCCCGAAGTAGCAGCCACCACCTCGCACCGTATTTACTATGCAGCCTTCCTGAGGCATGGGGTCACTCCAGAGAATGTCTAAGATCTGAAGGGGTGTGAAACATTTACTGAATGAAGTGTACCCAACAGAAACCACCCATCAAAGTTTACAAAGCAAATACAGCTCTTCCTCCAAATCCCTCCATGGACTGCTCTTATTACCATAGTGCAGAGAAACAGAGGTATTTGCTGCATCTTAGCTGAACCACCATTCTGCTCTGCAGGGCTGTCACAGATCTGGTCCACCACAGAAGTGGCAATACTGTAGGCCTGGGGGAAGAGGGCTGTCCATAAATCAGGCCTGATACAAGCTTTCCTTTTGCTGCCCCTTAAGAT